GGTGTAGTGGGTGTGGTTACACTGGTGTAGTGGGTGTGGTTACACTGGTGTAGTGGGTTTGGTTACACTGGTGTAGTGGGTGTGGTTACACTGGTGTAGTGGGTGTGGTTACACTGGTGTAGTGGGTTTGGTTACACTGGTGTAGTGGGTGTGGTTACACTGGTGTAGTGGGTGTGGTTACACTGGTGTAGTGGGTTTGGTTACACTGGTGTAGTGGGTGTGGTTACACTGGTGTAGTGGGTGTGGTTACACTGGTGTAGTGGGTTTGGTTACACTGGTGTAGTGGGTGTGGTGACACTGGTGTAGTGGGTGTGGTGACACTGGTGTAGTGGGTTTGGTTACACTGGTGTAGTGGGTGTGGTTACACTGGTGTAGTGGGTTGGGTTATACTGGTGTAGTGGGTGTGGTTACACTGGTGTAGTGGGTGTGGTTGTACTGGTGTAGTGGGTGTGGTTGTACTGGTGTAGTGGGTGTGGTTACATTAGTGTAGTGGGTGTGGTTACATTAGTGTAGTGGGTGTGGTTATACTGGTGTAATGGGTGGGGTTATACTGGTGTAGTGGGTGTGGTCACACTGGTATAGTGGGTGTGGCTACACTGGTGTAGTGGGTGTGGTTACACTGGTATAGTGGGTGTAGCTACACTGGTGTAGTGGGTGTGGTTACACTGGTGGTTGTATTCAATGTACAAACCTACCACCTGGCCTTCGTCAGTCGGACGGAATGCCGAGTGTCAATAGCCATTCCGTAAATAAAGCGATGCTCGGACAGGACGTGTTGAATTACATTACTACTTTTAAAATTACTACTTATTTAAAAATAACATATATTCAAATAGTATTACAACGTCATTTTGACATTACAATTGACAAAGCAGAAATAAAAAAACAGTGATAAGTCTAAGGAACCCTGTAAAACTGCAAAAAAAGCTATAATTTTTTTCGGGTATGGCAATAGGTTAAATCAATTAAAAATAAAAATAGAATCTTTGTGACTAAAAAAAATAGAAAGCTAAAACAGTAAAAAAAAAAACTAAAAAAAAGTTCTGAAAATTAAAATGCAAGGGACCACTCCGGAATTCGCACCTTTTATCTTCAATCAGAATTCGTTCTTTGGATGGAATCTGGTTCAGCCCAGTTTAACGTTACTAAAGGGAGGTTACTGTATAAAAACTATTTTGGAATTCTACAGTCGTTTGTCCTGCAGAGGCAACGGATCCTGAAGTAAATAAAGCATTTTATAGATTTTCACAACGAAACAACAGGGCACGATTGTTACTATTTGTTGATGATAATCTGTCAATTCGAACAAATTACCAAATGACTTGTAATCCCCTATATTACATAGCTCGTGTTTTCAGGTCATGCAAGACAAGCTCCTAGTTCTAGTAATCAGTAACGACCTTTTGGATATAACGTTGATTGCGTCCTATATTTCATCCACACTTGCGGAACTTTGGCTAATCTCTGATATTTACTGATTTATAATTAAGATACGATAAGCTTTATTTAAAGTCGGCAAGTCGAGGAATAACGATTAACCACAAGCTCTAATGAGCTTTTTATGACCGACATTTATGTAGCATTTGTATCATAGATGGTCGGTGTTCACAATATAGGTTTTGCATCAAAGACACATTTTTTTCGTGTAAGTCAAAATTGGGCGGTCGGGTGGCGCAGTGGATAGTGTGGTCGTCTTCACCAAGATGGCTTGGGTTCGATCCCCGTCACAAGCCCGACCACGATTTTTCTCTTGATACTCAGGCTCGCTCACGTTAAGATTTAGACCCTTTGCGCGCTTCAGTCAGAGTCAAAAATAAGTATCAATATAAGTTGGAGGGGAAACTTATTTGATAATGTAGAAATAAATAAAGTTTGTATGATATATTTTATAATATTTCGATGTATATATGTATAAAGATACACTACATCCATAAGTTAACTGTCCATCTGATGCAAAGGCTAAAGATCGTATAAGTACATGTATTAATATTTCAGTTTTTTTAACTTCCATAAAAAAAATGAAGCAGGAGTAACCGACGGAAAATATCCAGTTAACTTTCGCATTACGGAATACCCTGGGTCCGCGAAAGTGCAAAGGAATGGATGCAAACCTTTTTCTGACAAGTTTGAATCACCTTGCAATAAGAATATGGTTTCTTAAAAATATAAACGCGCCTTACTTTTGTAAAATGTTCAAATTCAGCGAATAGTGTTCAGCCTGTTCTCAAGCAGACTTTTTACAATGTATTTCATTTCGTCACGACTTTCCCCTGAATATGTTTCTATGGAAGTGAAAACGTTAATGTGGTTTTACTCGTGCGTCGTACTATATATTCAACAACAAACCGGATACGTCTGTTGTGTATACGTGTGGTTTAGTAAAAGGGAGACTACTCCGTTGGTATTAAGTGAAGTTGGACTTGCATTCCGTCTAATTCTTTAAGATTATTTTCGAATGATTGTTTTAGTTTAAACCATATTTTATTCATATCAATAAAAACGTACAATTACATAGACATTTAATTCTGATGATTGGGAAACAAGTACTATTGTACTTATACATAGTCCTTCTGGTCGTTTATAACAAGCTTAATAGCTGATAATACATGTATAACTTTGCAGTGATAGCCTAATTATGTACATAAGAAACTGTTAGGAAAGAAAGATAGAACATGATATAAGGGATAAAGAAAGTAACTGATGGAGTTTAACCCGATTGGATGGGTAGTTAAGTTTACATGATAACTTAATGTAGTTAAATTCTAATTGCTTGTAAATCTTCTGGTTGATTTGATAAAAATTTAAGTAGCTATAAAATGTTTACATTTTGATCATACGTTTTAATATATCACCAAACAGTTATAAATCAACACTTAATTGGTAAGGCAAAGGAGTCGAGTATCTTTGGCGTGATTCAATGTGATTAGCGCTAAGATAACAAATACTGGGAACTGTCTTCTACAAAATGTCCATATGAACATAAGGGATTGTCAACAAGATTTCTTTCAAAAAGATGGCGTTTTAAAGAACTGAATCCGAGACGTAGTCTAGTATGGTTTATTTGATATTGTCTCGATCCTACATAATAATATTCAGGGGGGCGTCCCCTAGAGTTTTGGTCGAGATAGCTTTTGAAGTTGGGCAACGAAGGATTAAAGCGAATCTCCTCAGGAATATTATTATTCGTGTCTCCTCAACAAGGTGGCGCACACCGAGCCTTCAAATTTGCTATGACATATTCCAGGGGTGTAGAGAGCGAAAGTGAGCGTAACCCCTGGATACCGAGGATGTTGGTTAACAGATATCACAGATTCCTCCGTTAACAGATATCACTGATTCCTCCGTTAACAGATATCACAGACTCACCTGTTAACAGATACCACAGATTCCTCCGTTAACAGACATCACAGATTATCCTGTTAACATATACCACAGATTCCTCCGTTAACAGATACCACAGATATCTCCGTTAAGAGAAACCACAAAATTCCTCCGTTAACAGATCTTAATACTACAGATTCCTCCGTTAACAGATACCACAGATATCTCCGTTAACAGAAACCACAACATTCCTCCGTTAACAGATCTAAATACTACAGATTACTCCGTTACAGATACCACAGATTCCTCGGTTAACAGATACCACAGATCAATATTTGTTCAGATTTCAGATTTTTATTTCTCTCAGACATATAAAGTATGTAACAAGAGGTCAGTATGTATCATATGCATATATACATGGCGGATAACAAAGGCATAAAGGCTACCATGATAAACTAATTACTAAGTTTTTCTAAAAAAAAAAAATCATATTCAATCATGTTTCCACATTAAAGCCTACAATATTTAGAACGAAAGAACTTTATACTACAGTGTTTGTTTGTCTTGTATCATGTATGTCGTTCAACGAAACCAGAACTTAATCTAAAATTGAGAGATATTTATCAATCTGGCTACTTCATAATTTGATGCTAAATTGTTGAAATCCAGGGGCTTCTGAGCTTCCCCATGGACCATCTACCAGGGCAACCGTAATTACGCCTCCCGTTCATAAAATCCTGGCCTAGGACTATTGAAATGTTAAGTAACGCCTTATACCCTAAAATTTGGAATTTCTCGTTATTGGTCTACTGCTGTTAAGATCCATCCAATCACTGTAATATACCATAGACAATTAATGGAGAGAATTCGGCATAAAAATGTCAAACCCTGACACTTTAACTATAAAATATACATGCTCCAAGTCAGGAACCGTTACATTAGTGCATTTCACAATTATTTTATGTTTTTTTAGCATAAAAAAAAGCACAGGGGCATGGATCGCTTTACTTGTAATATTAAAAAAAGGTTTATAGGAGACCCTTTTTTAACATTACACGTAAAGCGATCCATGCCCCTGTGTAAAAAAGGTCCAAAAAATGTTTCGCCTCGCTCCGCTCGGCGAAAGATTTGATTCTACGCCCTCTTTCAAATATCCTAGAAACGCCCCTGTGACGTGCTTCTTTTAAATTCCCAATATACGCTTGCAGAATTGTAAATGTAGTTTTTCAATTGCGCTTACATTTTCAAAACCCAATACTTCTACTGAATAGAGAAGTATTGGTAATACAAAAGAATCATAAAATTTTAATTGAAAGTCTACATGTAATGAAATATTTCTTATTTTCTTGTAAACATATATATAACATATAGCTTTTACCTGCATGTTGTCTCTAGTCAATTCACAGCAGCCGTACCCCCACTTCACCCCTATTTCATGATCACCTCCCTACCTCCTAGTCCGACAGAATAATTCGGACTACCTACCTCCCTCTCGATCTCATAGTAGGTCCGCAACGATTCAGCTTAGCCATTATTACTAATATAGGTTTTAGCGTCAAAAATTTAATCCTCGAAATTAAGTTTTGTGGTGATTACCGTTCTTACATGTCGTGCTCTTATCTTGTCGGTAGATGGCGGTAAGTACACAATTTCCGGTTTTTGTGACAGGTAAATGTCAAGGTGCGCTCAGGTGTAAAGCTATTCGTTAGCCATGTAAACACACGATTTGACATGTCTCCAGCCTAAGCGTTTATCAATGTACTGAGCTCGGAGAATATACTCTGACACCAGAAGGATCGTCATGTGTTTTACAAGTGGAATATAAATGGATTTCGTTTTGTACTGAAATCAGGAAACATGCAGGTATATTCGGAGAAGAGGAGCTCGAGGATGGCAGACGATCGATTCTCTGTACCGTACTGAAGTCCAAGTCATTAGGCATTTTGCGGATCACCACTTCTGCTAATGGAATCGATTGTCAGAAATTAACGCTATGGCATCTTCTAACTTGTCTGAAAAGTCATCCTCGAACTCCTCTGATATTCAGTACGCTGCTTCCACCGGAACATTCCTTGTTCTGTTCATTTTGGCTGGGACTATTGGTAACGGTTTGATCATTGTCAGCATACTATCTTCGAAAAAACTAAGGAGCTCCGCTTTCCATTTACTTTCTATAAATCTTGCAATTGTCAACATTTTAGAATGTCTCTTAAACATGACTTTCAACTTGACAACTGTTATGTCGATAGACACCTTGAAGGGAATCAGTACCGTTTGCAAAATAAACGCTTTTTTCATCAGCGTTGTATGGATGGAATCCATTCTGGGCATAACATTCATGGTTGTGGAAAGAATGGCTGCAATGAAGAACACAGACAAAATTGATGTCATACAGCGACCCAAACGTGTTGCCGTCATGGTCACTTACACCTGGGTGCATTCTGCAGCATTCAGCCTCCCGCTTGCCACCGGTCTTGTGCCTGTCAGTGTCTACTCTGACATCAACTCCTGCCTCGTGTCGGTAGAATCATCAGCCGTTTACATCGGAACTGTGTCCATATGTTGTCTTGTAGTTCCCATCGTTCTGACCATAATTTTATTTATAATAACAATGAAAAATGCCTTTGCAGAAAAATCTTCAGTCCAGGCACAAATGACTCGACATCAGTATTCTAATGATGTAGATGAACCCAATTTTTATAAGGAATTCGCCGGAGCAAAATTTTCTGGCATAATTTTAATGTGCTGGGTGTTCTTGGTCTCACCCTTTCTCGTAGCCTTCTTTATTTATTTGTACAGATATAGTGACATGAATTTAGATTCCGGTTTGAAAATGTCTCATTCCTCAATTGTTTATTTTTTGCTCCTCTGGTTAAAATATTGTAATGTTTTCATCCTTCCACTCTTTTCACTTTGTTATAAAAAAGAATTTTGGTTAAATTTTAAAGACGTGTTATTTTGCAAGAAAAAGAATTCAGTAAATGATGTTGCCAATGAACATAACAGATTGAGTCTTGATAGTCAAGATAAGATAGAAAAATTGGAATCGAGAGAAAAGAAAATAAAAGAAGAAAAAATGAAAGAGGCATTTATTCACAATTCTGGATTTCAAGTTCCTGTGTTATTTGCCACAGCCAAAGGTGTACATATTCAGACGTCAGAGTCTGAAGTCATTGTTGATGACCAAGGAACTGTTGGAAAGAAATGTGATGTGTTTGGATCGCAGGGAAAGTTACAGCAATTCGGAGAAGACACAAGTGATTATGACTCTAGTAATGAGCTGGATCCATTTTCTGTGTCACATCCAGTATCCACTAAAAATCTGAGAAATCAAACCTCACCTGCCTTGCATCACAGATCTAGCTCCCAGCCTGAAGTCAGAACTAAAGGTCACTCCCCTGACCAACCCACCTCTGTAACGGTCACTTCGGCAGCGGATTCGGGACTGGACATCAGTAGTATGAATAAGAGTGCCGGTCCTCACCCGAGTCCCACTTTGACGTATGGTAGGAGTGATTCTTGTCCTGCGGATGAGAAAATCATATCAAATCATTCATTCATTCCAACATCACCAAAAACAGCAGCTGTTTCTAAATATAACTCAGATAGTACTAATTATAACTCAAGTAACGATGACAATCAGGTTCAAGAACCAGAAATATTTGCTCAAAATGAAGGATGTGAAAACCGTGCATATAAGGGGGATAGAGATGATATAGAAAGGTGCAATAGCTCGACTGGTCAAGGACAAAATGACCAGAGAGATGGTCAAACTACCACTGGTCAAGGTCAGACCAACCAAAGGATTGGTCAGAGTGTAGATACTGAGATTATGTCCAACAGAAATATTTCAGATGCATGTGGAAAAGATGGTGCTGCTACTGGTTGTGCTTTGAATGCCAATGTGAATAACAATGAAATTTCAGATTTACATGGTGATGGAAGTGTGGACACTTCTGGTATTGTACCAGCAACACCAAGCAAAAAGAAAAAGAAACATAAAAAACAAGCTAAAGGTTCAAATTACACTGGAATTTTAAGAAATGGAGGTGAGGAACTGAGACTACCCCGACCACCACCAAGACTAGCTCCATTACAAGGCTGTCACCAGCCTCTGTATCAGAGAATGACTGAAACGGAAACTACTGCACCTGAAGACATTCCACAGAATAGCAATTGCTCGGGAGAAACCGGAATCATATCCCACAAAGCAGCAGTATACGAAGTGAAACATGACAGGAAGATCAAGAATAAAACAAGACAAAGAAATGCTGACAGCCAGACTTCTTTACTGGATTCTGGGAGTTCAGCAGAGTTGAAAAGTTTGAAAGATGCAGTGTTCGGTGTGTCGGAATCGGACGGATATTCCTCACAAGTATTGGAGGTTACGACACCAAGTGCGTGTAATCTGGTAGATCTTTCTAAGGATTTCGGGAGCATTTCTCCAACCTTGTCTCAACATTCTCATGACAACTAAATCATGTAAGTATATCTTTAGATACCTGTACTATATAAGGGTAAAATTGACTGGCTATGAAGTAGGTGTTGTTCCTCAATCTTTGAAGGACAAGCATCGGCTTATAGCGATTGGTCAGATTTTTTTTTAAGTTTGATTTTGTCATGATGTATTCTCAAAATAATTCTAGGTCAAAGTGTGCAGAGAACTAAAGTGAGTGTTACTGTAACTCCATGAATCTAAAGATTACAGGGTGTTCTTGAATTGAAGTGTCACAAAAAAATTGTAGTGTGACAGTTTACCTTGTCACTGCATGCTGGTATACTGCCAATGTATCATTATTATCCAACAGTAACTGATGTTATAAAAGGGTTTCATGGCTAGAAGTTAATTTTGAATACCACTAGTCCATTGGGTTAGTAGTTTCCAATTTTTGATTGTCCATGTTCAAATTCCACTAACCTATTAATGTTATTCAACAAGATAAGCAGTATCAAATTTTGACTAGTCAATTGGGCCAGCGGTTTTTAGTACCGCTAGTCAGTCCAGCTGGAGATTACGTTAGTTTCAGACTATCAGGCTACTCTTATTGCCTAGCCCTGGCTATGGATTTCTGGTAACATTATATGGCGGGAAATAAAATGTAAAATTTACCGCTGAATATTACAACGGGAAAAAAAGAAACAAGGGATGTGTATCAAGTTGTTATTGTCATTAGACTCAGGCAACCAATATCTTCATCCGTGTACCCCAATTAATATATGAGCAATATCTGTTAAGTGTTTATTTTAGCTTGTTTAGATTGAGATCCGTTAAGATATAGTGTGACATCACGATTCCAACCCATTTACTGGCTATACCACAATAGGATTCAAACAGTGCAACAATCTCCCAATCTTACAGGTCAGGCTATTACCCGTTAATGTAAATATTCATGCCCTGTAGACTGCCAAGTATTTGGAAACACATAATGTGCATGTGTGTCATGTTCACCATTTGATGGTTTACCTAAGCTAAATAGAAAAGAAAATATTTAAGTTTTGATAGCGGAATTAGTATTACTTAATGACAACTTAACTTATATATAAATATATAAACTTTATTTATTTTAATTACACCTCTTGTTGGCCCCGACACTAGCGCGCTGGGGGTCTTAATGTGGGAGGAAACCGGAGTACCCGGAGAAAACCCACATGGTCGGGCAGGGACCCCATCTCTTTTCACACCCGATCGGGGAATAGAACCCTGGCCGCCTTGGGGAAAGGCAAGTGCACTATCCACCGCACCACCGGACCACACACTTAACTTTATATATCATACAGAGAGAAAATAGAAATGTTTTGAATTAAAATTTGTTACAATGATAACTGTGAAATACCAGTGAGTAACAATCAATAAAGGCATTCAACATAAGGCCAAACAAATAATTACTTGTGTTTCTGCTATCATCCGCAGAAAAAATGAGGCAATTTCTTTTCTTTTTTTGGAAAATATTTTTACTATCATGCTGATATAGAGCAGGAGTTCTGACTTTAACAGTGGATATAACTAAATGCCAATAAAACTTTAGGGTAGGGACAAAAATCATGGGCGGGAAAATCTGACGTTGCATGCTATATGATGTCATAACTAAGCCGATTCCAACGGGGGCCAAACTTACCCGAATGCCTGTTCGAACTTACACCATATGGGGGTGCTCGTTTGGCCACCCGATCTTCCTACAGAAAAAGTTAAATATTTCCAAAAACGGACATGATGCTTCCGTACCTCCAAGAACGGACTTATATCAAATTAGCCGAACTTGCCCTGGTCGCCCCTTATTGTTATGTCGGTCTTAAAATCTCATTAGAGCTTGTGTTTTATTGTTATTCCTCGACTTGCCGACTTAAAGTTTGTCTTATATCATTCTAAAATCAATATTATCTGAGTCTGAATAAGTAAATATCAGAGATCAACAAAAGCAATGCTCTTTTTAGGCTTTGCCTTTTCATATTAATTTAAATAGAAAATACTTGGACTAAAGGTACAATCAAACCAGTTGTAAACCAAATAGTTTGGTTCCCTAAGAAATCTAATTAAAATTCCTGATGAGCAAACACAGTGTGTACAAATCCTAACTTTATTTATGTATTTTCTATTATTTTAAGAGTATACAGTGTAAATTGGCATTAATGAGATACAAAATTTTCTCAAATTGTAACGAAATTTTTGCTGAAAGTTCGAACTCACGCTTATTTTCTGAAGCATAATTTCGTATAATCCGAACAGGTTCATCAATATTTATTTGATTTTGTTCGAACTGACCGAAGGTTTACCGTACTCTTTTGTTAATGTTAAGAAACGATGAGAGTGTCGGAGGTCAAACACCGACATGTTGTCAAATTAAGGTGAAGGGTATATACGTACCATAATGCATCGATCATGCTAACATATTTATAAATTATGGATTGTTGTTCAGGTGAATATGTGGTGTTAATTTGGAATAGGTGTTATTGTGAAAACTACATTTACTTTTGGTATTGCTAGATATGATATACATCATGATGTTAAATGAAAAAACTGATGAAACATACATGTAGAGATACACAAAAACAGCTGATTTATCATCCAGTGCAAATAACTGTCAGATGCTGTCAACAGTTGCAGCAATGTGATCTTTTGTGTGAAAACACTTAACAATAAGTAGCAGACTGCAGGGACACGTGAATGTCACTCTAATTCACCGAAAAAAGAAATAAGTGTTAGTTAAGAATGTAAACCCAAGCCTCCATATTCCCATCATAAATGAGTAGCTTTAATATTATTTTAAGCTATAGGGTGTCAGAAATGTATCATGGGTTTGTCAGGTTATAGTTTTGGTTGTGTCAGTTTACAGATTTACCGAAATCCAGCATAATGGAGTTCTACTGTATTATAATCACTGGTTACTTTTTAAAGGCATTATTTGGACAGTAACAATAAAATATTACATTAATTTGGTGTACGTGTGATTTCTGTACTTTAAACATATTTATTGCCAATAAAATTGAACAAGGGATTGGGCACAATTAAGTTATTAAATTATTATATATATATATATATAAATTACAACTTATTACAGCCAGGAGCCTTCTCCCATCATACATTTACAATTACATGTACATGTCATAAACATGAAGTAGATACATATAATATTCACACAGGTACAAATACACAACTTTAAAAAAGCACCGTTCAAAATCTTTTGCTGGATTTGATGAAGTGATGCACATCATGTCTGATAACGTATTAAGAGTTAAGGTTTGATTCCTGTTTCCTGAAATTTGATAAATTGGCTGTTTAAGATCCGGGTATACTTTTAAATTCCATTGAATTTTGTTGTATACATGTATATATCAGTAATCATACTTACTAATATATGTATCTTTGATCTTTAAGATCGTTATGTACATTACAGTGTATTTATGTATCCAAAATTTCTTCAATAAACATTAAGTTTTCCTAAGTACATGTAAAAATGAATTGGTTGAGGCTATGCAGTCTGTTCATAAATATATGCGAAAGAATTTTTACTATCAACTATCTAGAGAACAAATTAAACTCCTAGTCCCAATATAAATCATGGTAACATTAGTGTGAAATATTTCGGTAGAGATTCAGGTTTTGTCAGTCTATGTACATTATTGTATACATGTACATGTTTGGTGCAGACATCATGGCCACGATTCCCAATGAGAAAACAAAGTTGCTATTTCATTTATGTACAGTTTCTCTCATTTCCTGATTAAAGACCCTGGCCCAGTCTCAAACCATTAGTCTGAAATATTTCGGGTAGAGATTCAGGTTTTGTCAGCCTATGTACATTATTGTATACATGTACATGTTTGGTGCAGACATCATGGCCACGATTCCCAATGAGAAAACAAAATTGCTATTTCATTTATGTACAGTTTCTCTCATTTCCTGATTAAAGACCCTGGCCCAGTCTCAAACCAAAATAAAAATAAATATCCTGTAGTCTAGAATTTAATAAGAACTAGTGGACAAATACATGATTATATTGAAATTTTTAGCAATATTTTGTTTAAAGTAAAGTTCAGAACTTCAATTCTTTTTATTCACAACATTAATTTAAACTATTCTTTCCCCCTCCATACTTATCTAGATGCTATCCTCAGAATGATCTCAAACTTATATTTAGTATGTGGTTTTGCCTGAATTCGAAGAAGGAGGTAAAATTAAGACACCTACACATTGATTCTGGTAGTGTTTCATCAAAGGTTAAGATCACTGTTATTGAAATTAGAACTTTAAGTTTCTTGTCCAGATCCTGGCTTCAGAACAGTCTTAGGATATATATATCACCCTTCTCAGACTCGGTGTGCGAGCTGTCGCAGAAAAGAAGAACCATTTTGTTATTAAAAATAGAATTTCACATAACACGCTATACCCGTCTGGATGCTAACTTCGGAATGAATGACCACTCAAAACTCAACTTTGGTTGTTTTATGGGTTTCTGTAAGAAGAGTTACGGTTTGTAATTAACTCATTTACCCCTGAAATTTCATAATGAACTATACTCCAACCTATTGAATTGGAAGAGTTCAAATGTGTCTTTATGGGTGAATGAGTTAAAAACAAACGTTAAGGTGGCTATTATTGAAAAATGCAATTTTGTTGTCTGTATCAGAACAAATGTAATCATCCTAATGAAGCTTTCACTAATTGGTACAAAAGTTGACCAAGAGAAATTAAAAAATCCTATTGATTTTGGGCATGGTACTTCAAAGGTCAACGTCACTTTTACTGGGGAGTTTTGTCCTATCCTTACGAGTCATTTGTTCCACAAAGCTCAATGTTGGTTGTTCTAGAGGAAAAAAAGAGCCTGTTCATTTTGGGAGTGATTTGTCAAAAGTTAGTGTCAGTGCTACGTACTAGCCAAGTGGTTAAGGCGTCCGACATTCTGCTACCACTAGCCCTCCACCACTGGCTCACGGGTTCGATACCTACATGGGGCAGTCGCCAGGTACTGGCCGTAGATCGGTGG